ACATGTTAGAGGGAGGAGAGAGGCAAGCGAGATTAGGAGAGGGAGGAGAGAGGCGAGCGAGAGAGAGTAGAGAGTGGAGAGACGAACTATATATGTATATCTATCAGATAATTGTATATATGTAACTGGTATACATATATATTGTATATTTGGCGAGCGAGATCGGGAGAGGAAGGAGAGCGGCGAGCGAAATTGGGAGAGGAAGGAGAGAGGTGAGCGAGAGAGGGCAGAGAGTGAAGAGAGGTTAATTGTATTTGTATATCTGTCATATAATTGTATATGTATGTATAACTTGTATCTGATCATTTATATTTGTATATGAACAAAAGAGGAGAGGGGCAAGAGAGAGGAGATCCGAGATAACATAATTATAGCTAAAATTAAGTTGCAAGCCGAAATTAATTCAAATCATAACTATATTAGCTAATTAACTAGTATATATTTACTTATCCGCATAATTTTCCCCCATATATATCACATTTAATGTGAATAATAGTAATAGTAAGGTCCTTCCTCCAACTCAATATTAATTGATGATTGCCACATAGCCACATATAAATTTGGTTGGCTGACATTTAAATAAATTATAATTTTTGCAACTCATTTTCTTGTCAGAAATTTATTAATCCTACATTCTTCATTGCACACAAAATAAATACACAACACGAGTTCAATCGCTCAACATGACATGCATATGTATTTTATCTTTTTTAATCTATGTGTTTTAGTTTGATTACATTACTTTATTTGAGTCGAGAGTGTTTAGATATAGTACGTTTCTTTGTCTTTATGAAATTAAAGTAAAATTTGCATACAAAATATTTTTTTTAGATTTTATCTGTATGATTACATTATGTTGTTATTACTGCCGTCCCAATTTGACTAGGTATAAAGATAACAAAATTAAAAAGATAATCTTGAGATCTTAAACAAGATGTAATTGTGTTTCACTTTTTGCTTGTTAATTCTTCCCAAAAATAAGGACCTTTAATTTTTTACTAAAGCATATATTAAAAAATAGGTTTATTCTTTCTTTTTTTTTTCTTTGATTGGTTGCTCATTATGTGGATGAATTTAAGTCTTAATGTTCAACTAAAATTGCTCCTCATTATGATTTTTTGTTCCTTTCACTAATTGAATGACTATGAACATGTCAAATACCCAATTAACACACAAAACAAATAATTTTCAAATTCAATATAAGTTTTTCATGCTCTTTTCACCAATTGATTCATGGAACTCGCCTTAAATTTGGATTAATTTCTCACAAGTATTTATATATAATCTAAATAAATATTACGGAGGGTTGAGGATGGAGGTTGGGGTGTGGGGTTATGGGAATGGGGACTATGTGGGTAGAGTAAAAATGAAGTGTTTTGATAGGTAGAAACGACACCATTAATATGAAATGTTACTTGTTGAACTTGTTTAATTTACTGTACTTCCACGTGAAAAGTAATTTTTAGAAAAATATTTTCCTCCATGTTGAATACATCCTATATATCAAATATTTCTTTTTTGATTTTTTTTTCCCCATGTTTATTGTACAGATATTATCCAAATCTATATAAGTGTCATTATCAATCCATTCCTCAATCGATGTAGGATTCTAGCACATTCTTCAAGTTCAGGCCTAACTGGAACGTGGGTCGGAAGCTCAAAAAGAGATGAACCCCATGGCTTTGATACAATATAATAAAGATGTGACAATTGAACCAACTCAATACCGCCCAAAAGCTAGTTCTAGCAGGAATGATTGACCAAGTCCATATATAAGCATCATCACTCATCACCATTTTCCAATCTATATGAAAATATTTTTAATCTCTCAATGAAAATTTTAACTTCACCATTGTCTCGACCATTAATGTCTCATCAAATTATTAGTGTGGGTATGTTGACAAGCTGGACTCACAAAAAAAAAAAATAGCCAACAACTGACCAAGAAGATGACTTTCAAACCATTTTTTTTTGTAATAAAAGTTGTACATATATAGGACCAAAAATAGATTCTTTTTACAACCTATAAGCCACTAAGAAAGGGTATCCTACTTACCACATAAATAAAGGTATCTTCATTATTATCTGATTACTTACCCACAAACATGAATATATATATTAAATCGATATTTTATTTGGTAAAGTATTTTTTTATAATATTATCTAAAATCCTTGTATTTATTTTTCCACTTTATAATAATTTTACCAAAAATAAATAAATTAAAAAAATATATAATAAAAAATATATATATAAAAATATATATATATATATATATATATATATATATATACACACACTTCCTTTAAACTTTCTGAATTTTATTTATATTCTAAATCTATATGATAATTATTGCAAAAATACCATACTATTATAAGTGAAAGAAAAAAGGAGTACATATTATATTAATTAATTGTCATGCAAGGTTTATGGATGTTATAATATTTGTATGTTATTTAGAGGATTTAATAATAAGTAAAAAAAATATCACCGGCCTAATGTTTTTTTCCATCCATTGTCCTATAACTACTTCGAGATCGAGTAAAATTTGGATTCGCAATGAAAATCTCACTTTAACAATAAAACTTTTCCTACCAAAAGCTACTCTTTTATATAGCTCGAATATCGAAATATCTGATAAAAGATAATTAAAAAGATTGTTTCATTATAATCTTTAATTTGATGGCCATCAACCTAATTCTTAAATATACCTTGAATGATCATTTATTCAAGGATTAAACCACAAACTAAAAGAGTGTTAAAAATTATTTTAATTAACAGTTATATGTGACACTTTATATCTAATTAATGAGATAATTAATTTATGTAAAATTGGCTAAAATAGAAACGATTTCTCTCTTAAAACACCAATAACTATTTGTTAATTGAAATTCACACCTAAAACGTATCCATCATATATTATAACTTATGACTTATTCAAAAGCTTAGTGTATATTAATCATCATAAATGCTATAATTAATATTATTATTATAACGTCTTTGTTTTTCTATGTTTGACAGGTGACCTTCTAGCTACTCAAATTGACTACCACAATAGGCACAAATTAATCATTAATAGACCGTTACGAATGGAAAAAACAGAGAAAAAAAATAAATAAAGTTTCCAAAAAAAAAGAAAAAGATAATGATTAATTCCAAAACATATAGTTTCTTCTTATAGGTTCTTTTAATTAATTTTTTTCCAAAAAGTTATCTTTCACTTGGCCAACAAGAATAATACAAATATAAAAGCTAAAGATAAAAATGGATATAATTCATTTACCCTTAATCAAAGATTTGAGATTCGAGTTATGATATTATTAATTATAAAATATTTTTACGAGGGGAAAAATAAACATATAACAGTTGAAAATAATAAATTTCTGACTGATTTGTGGTTATTGGAAAAAATAGTGTGCTGGTATGCCGAATTGCTTTTGTCGGAAAAGACTTGATTTTATGTAGTGCGAGAATTAAAAAAATCCTATATTAAATCACTTTTTTTCTTTAACAAACTTTATTTGATGTGAATATAGATTAAACGGGACTTTAATGCAAATAAAAGACTTGATGATAAATAAGAATAATATAAGTAAAATGAAAACTTTTAAGAAAAGAAAAGGTTTAAGAGAACTATTTTTTAAAAAAAATATTTTACTACCACAATGCTCATCATTTAGACCAAAAAATAATAATATTTGAACTACAAAGAAGCTAAGAACCCTCTTTTCTTAATGAAAGGAGTGATCGTCCTAAGGTGATGTGCCTAAAATGATAGGAGTATATTTTAAGTCAGCTTTTAAATGATATGTGAAAAACTATATATTTTACGTATTCATTTTTCAGTTATATACAAAAGGAAATATATTTTACATATTTATTTATATGTGAAAAACGATATATTTTATACAGCTCTTCACCGTGATATGTAACAAACGATATATTTTACATGTCCGCTTTCAGAATGCCACGTGCCATGTGTCCCATCCCCATCCCCACCCCCACCAAAAAAGAAGCAACGTGTAGCCCTATCCACCATACCAACCAAAGGTTCAATGTCATAATTAATTTGTAGAAGAAAATTAAAGAGTTGGCCGTTTGTTGGGTTAAAATTCAAGCATTAAACATCTCTTTAAGCAAAACTAATGTCCCACCTTCAACTTCTAACCCAAAAAAGAAAATTCCACAATATATATATATATATATATATTAATTTGATGGGTAGTAACTAATAAAATTTGATAAAATTTGTTGTTATGTGTTCCTGAGATTATAGATTCGAGCGAGTGGAAATAGTCTCTTGCAGATATATAGAGTAAGATCGTGTACAATAAACTTTTATAGTCCAATTCTTCTCCAAATCTCACTCATAGCAAGAATTTAGTGTAACGAACCATTTTTTTTATTAGTTTGACTAGGGCAAGTTTAGCAAAGTGAACAGAACTTTTGAATTTTATTAATTCAAAATTAAATGTATAACATAACAAAATTATCTTTCTAATCTTGTAATCTTTAACGTGAATAGATAATGTCATTAGCGATAAAATGAAAATGTAGAATTTACAAATTTATTAAACATAAAAAAAATGACACTTTCTTTCCAAAAAAGTTACTTAAAAGAGAAAAGCTAATTAAGACGTAATAAATTGAAACAAAAGAAATAATATAAAAACAAGAGTTTCCCTTTTTTGGATTATAGGATCAACCACATACACCTCTTCAAGCAAACTAATGTCCCACCTTCAATTTCATAACACAAAAAAAAAAAGACTTTGAAAAAGTCAAAAAAAAAAAACGTAAGCAATATAATTTCGATTTCTTTTATTTCTCATCTGGTATTTGATATTCAATCTGCGTTCCGTACCAAAAACGCAAACAAACTTGACTTTGTGTGTCAATGAAGGTAGTCATGGAACTCCTAGTCCCCCAAAAAAAAAAAAAAAAAAAAAACTTAGGAAATAAAAAATTCACTAATTTTATTACACAATTTTTAAAAAAAAAATCATCTAGCATAAACATGATATGGAGATGGAGATTCAAGAGATGCTATCTTTTTTTGTTGCTTTAAATCTTTATAAAACTTCTTAATGAATTCTTCAGCATCTTTATCAACTTGTGAATTATAATTTTCCTCTGAATCTTTTACTGGAAATGGTGAATCAGTAACTCTTAATTTTCTCACATTATTTGGACTTTTTCCAAATCCAAGTAATGCTAAAGGTGAAGCAACTGCAATAGAAGTTGTACCACCAGCTTCATAACTTGTACTTGTAGTATTTAAAATTTCAAATACTTTTTGTACAACATCAATTTCCCCTGATTTATACGTACGATTTCGCCTACGTTTATTATTGGCGAAATACAGGGGAAATTTAGGACTATTACTGCAGCTAAACTCGTATTCACGACGTGTGATAAATGACATTGCTACGTCGTTGTTGTTGTTTGATTTGCACGTAAATGAAGACGATGAATAGTGTGGAGGATGTAACATAAGGTTGCTTATCGCTTTACCAACGATTTTACCTCTTTTTAACATGTCTTGAAGGGTAATTTGCATGAGTTTGCTCTTTAACATGCCTTTCCTCAACATGTAGAACATAATTCTCACTATATTCCATAGTTTTTTCCCCGCAATTTGAGGTGCACTTGGCTCAATTTCCATGTTGTTATATGTAAATTTATCTGACTGTGAAATCGACTGGTTAAGTGTGGAAAAAAAGATTATGTTTGTAGAAATAATAATATAAGTCTGTCTGACTGTGAAATCGAACGATCTCTAAGAGAGAGGGAGAGAGAAAGGGAAGAGGAAGAGAGATGTGTTTGTTTGGTTGTGAAGAGAGAAAAAGGATTAAAGAGGTATATATATAGGATTGTAAAATGAAGGTGAGAGGTTACAATAAATATTTTTTAAAAAATAATATTGATTTTTTTTTTGGGAGGAAAAAAAACAAATTATTATTGCACTCTCTTTCAATGATAGTGAGTGGGTACAATAATATTTTATTTTATTATTTTAAATAAAAGGTTGTAAAGTGATTAAATTAAATCAGTCCAAGATTGTGGCAAGTTCTCCAGAATTTTGGGGTATCTTCCTACCTTCTTTCATCTCTATTTTGCGAAACATATAAAAAAATAGTTGAGTAATAGTACTTTTGATCCCTCAATTATATATATTGGTCACTTCATGTTTAAAATATGTTGAACAAATCAGTTCGAGTGTATCTCACACGAATTGCCACATATGATGCTAAAAGAGAAGGACGTATGTCTCTAATTATTCAACTTTATATAAGTTTGAGTGTTTATTTGTGCACACTCAAAATTTAAGGGAATAAATATTAGGTAAAGCTAAATTAAAAAATACATTTATATATTATGTCTTGATTATTTATAGAATTATATAAGTACTATCAAATATCAAATTACTGTACAAACTTAACATATAAGACATGAGTAAATAAGTTGTGAAACGGTTAACCGTTATAGTAAAATTGTGAATATTCATAAGCAAAAAATCAAAAAAGTGAGCACAATGCAATTAAATGCAAGGTTTGATATGCTTGAAATGAAAAAGGTTCGATGTTTTTAGTCATATATTATAGAGAAATTCTGAATATTCATAAGCAAAGAAACTAAAAATGCACAGTACAATTAATTGCGAGGTTTGACATATATTATAAGGATTAAAATTATAATTACTAATGATTGAAGGGTCAAAAGTGTTATTATCCAAAAAAAATTATTAGAATGCAAATAATGTTATATTTTTTTTCTCTCTTTGATTTTCTTCGCTTTATGTATATTGTATGCCATAAAGAAAGTATTTTAATTTTTTGTGCAAAATGTTCTTTAACGAAAAGGACATTGCCTAGTTGATGTTAGAGAAATAAAAAGATGTGACAAAAGGATGGGAAAACACACACTTAATAATCAGATGGGTCGTTTACATTAAAATCATAAATTTATGATCGGAGTCGATATAAAATTAAAGAATGTAAATTTAATAATTCTGATTTCGATCATGTATATGAATTACAAAATCAACTAAATAAATACTAACGATAAATTTCATACATGTAATGATTGTGACTGAATTCAGAATTCTATCAAATTCATAATGTATAAATCCTGAATTTACTTTTATGTCTGATGTATTTGACATATACACTTTATTTTTCACTAAAAATGGCCAAATATCACATATTCTCACCTTATTTGATCATTTAATTATGGAAACTTATTATAATTGTTATAATTATTTAGTGTGAATAATTTTACCCATATATAGAACCACACAATTATGGACACTTTTTTTTTTTGCCTGCCTAATTGGAAAACTCATTAATCACGAGTGAAATTGTGGTGGAAACTTCTTTAATTGTTTTTTTTTTTTTGTAACATCAATTATTTGGAAGTTATTTCATATAATATTACTAGGAGCTGTCTTCCAGCTTCAAGAACTATTTAAAGTGCCTAAAAAAAAAGACAAAGCTTGGATTTCAATGATTGAAGTAAGTAATTAAATCAAATATATTTTTCTCAAAATTGTGCAAATTACTTTTTTTTTTAATGAGGGAGCATGAAAGAAAGAAAACTTTTTTTTCTCGATCTTATTTTATATGACACTTTTTCATTTTTATTAGTCGTTAAAAAAATACTTTTTTATATTTAAAAGTAAATTAATTTTAAACTTGTTCTAATGTCATACTTTTATAATCAGATAAATGTCATGGCATATGCAAGACAATAATTTTTTATTTATTTTTAAATATAATATTGAGTCAAATATTATCATATAAGCTGAATCGGAGGAGAAATCAAATTGAAACTTGCGTCTAGCTATAATACGTGAATTCAAATTACATCGAACCCCAATATAAATTCTAACATTAGGTGGAAAACAATAAAATAAAAAAAAATCAAGATTTTTTTTAAAGAAATGTTCGAATCACATCATAGTACGGATGTCTTCAAGTTTTATGTTGTTTGGTGGTGTAAATGTTTATTTGTCAGTGGGTGTTAAAAGAAGCATTTCATGTAGGTCATATTAAAAAAAGTAGTTGCAATAATTAATTAATGTAACGTGATAATTAAGTTGTGTAAAGTACTTTTCATTTTTAAATACACAATTTAATTACTAAAATTATATTTGTTATTGACTCTTATTTATTTATTTAAAAAAAAAAAAAAGAAGCGAGAACTATGTTTTAGTAAAAATATAAAATCACTAACAACCTTAACCAAAGGTTTCAGCTTTGAGTTGTGTATGAAGTCGCTTTTGTTAGGGAGCATTTTATCTCTCAATGTGAAATTTCTCGATGCAAATTCAAATTTAATTAAACGTGGATATCAGACACAATTGGAGTTTTAAAAAAGAGCACCTTAATGTTCTCCAAAAGTTAAACCATGTATATTCTTATATATTATCCACTTTTTAATTTATCAAGTGCCTAAATGAAATAATAAAATGTTCAAATAATTGTTTGGTGTTGTAGAATTAAAAAGATTTATAGGTTTTTATTCAATTGTTGATCATCTTAATGAGCAAAAAATAATATAATAATAACATGCTTAATATAATTCTACAAAATAAAGTCTGAGAGAGTGATGTTATGTTGTCTTACTTCTGCCTTACGATGATAAAAATGTTGTATATCTTAATATAATTCACTTTACTTAGAACTAGTTTAGATTATTTTTAAAAAAAAATAAACAATTCAATTATATAGATTAAATTGCCTATTTTTATTTGAATATTCACCAATATGTACCATCAGTAATAAAACTACTTTAATTCACAGCAAAAACCAATTAAATTCAGCCTAACGTCAAAGACGGCAAAGAATCTAGAAATTTAATAGGGAAAAGATTTGGAAAAAACTTTACTTAATACACTGACTCTTTTATTTGCCAATAATTCTTTTTTTAGATATTCAATTTTAAAATATTCATATTAGATAATTTTGATTATTTTTTTTTAAAAAAACTATGCGTATTCTCAAATATTTATTACGAATAGAAATAACTCAATATTAAGGAGCAAATAAGGAAAAAGGAATGATATAATTGGCTGCATTTTTTCATTGTGATTTCTTTTTCTTTATTACTTCTGCTCTTTTCTTTTTGGTCTGATTTGACACTTTGCTGGAAAATACAAATGGGCCAAATCAAGAATCTGAATTTTTTGTTTTAGTGGATAGACCAAACGTAGTAAAATACTCCCCAGTAATTGACTGCATGTAGATGGTCAAAATTATTTTGATATATTTATAGGAAGAAATATTATTTTTTGTTCGTGTTGAACGTCTTTGACTTTTTTTTCGTATCTACTTATTTATATTTTAAACCCCCTCAATAAATTTTTTGACTCTGTCACTACTAGTTGTCTTACGTATATCAGATATATAACGTTCAAATAATATTTTTTTTGTATATATAATTAATGAGTGTTGAATTCATAAACTTCTTCGAATGTTTATTTCTTCATATTTTAGTGAAAATTCCAACTCCATCGTATCAGGTCCAACAAAACCAAGCAAAAGTTTTCTTCTTCAATTAATTTACTTAATGAACATATCTTCTAGTTGTCTTAAAGGATATTTTAATTAGCTCACTAAGCTCCAAAGACTCAGAAACAATGTGTCTTTGTTGTTGCATTAGATTCAATTAATTAATAAACTCAGCTCAATATCTAGATAATTGAGTGGTTAATTTATTAAATTAATTAATCATTAAAGTACTAAAAGTACCTATACATTAATCAATTGTACAATTATTAGAGCATTTTAAAATTAAATTGATAGAATCACTTTCCTCATGAATGTTAAGAAATTAAAGAAAGACACTTGATGTTAACATCCCAATAATTCATGTTGGAGACTTGCTTTAGTGAGGAGCTAAGTATATAATGTGGTTGGATAGTTCAGATTGCTTCGTTCTTTAATTAGAATCACAAATTCGAGTTCTGAAAATGAAAAAAATTATGTTGGGAACGCTCCCCTAAGAATAAGTTTCATAATACACAAATTCAAATTTAATTGAATTCTATATAAATACCGAGCACTAGATTAAAAAAACATTTTAAAAAGCATACTAGGTTTTGTTATTCAACCTAACAAATATTTATTTAATTGGTAATACTAAAATAGTGTCATCACCTAACATATATTTATAACAAATATTTTTTTATTTGGTAATACTAAAATAGTATCATCAACCTAACATATATTTATTTTTGGTGATACTAGAATATAGATACTACTACATCATCAGGGTGAAGCTGCAAAAAATTATTTATACAATCAAAGTTGGAATATATATATATACTATTAATTCTGTGTTAAATAAAATATTTATTGACATGGTTTAAAGTTTTAAGTGGGATATAATGGAAGTATAAACTATTAATTATTAATCATCTCTAAGTGGGATATAATTGAAATATATACTATTAATCATCTCTAATTAGTGGGATATTGTTCCCTTTCATTACTTGTTAAATAATTTTTTCTTTTTTAAATATTCACTTTAGCTAACTAGAAGATTAGTTTTTATCACAAAATTTACCCCTATTATTAATTAATATTTCCTAAACTCAATAGAGTTTTAGTAGTCAAATTTAAAATTTTGAAGTAACATTGATAATGATAAATTAGTAAAATA